AGGATAGTCTCATTTGCAAGAGTGAGCTTCGCCTCCAAAATGACAGGGGCAAAAAGCAAATAAAACACAACAATTAAACAAATAGAAATCAGTACAAACAAACAATGGTATCACATGAGAAATCTAAAATTCTGCACAAACATGAATCAATGTCAAATAATACATTCTCAGTGCGGACAGATTATTCTTTAGATGTTCACAGCAGCAATGACAAATCAATCTACATATTAATTATACGAATATAGGGTGACGATTGGACCAATTATGTAAACGGACAAGGATATGCGTGAAATGCAATTGCAAGCGATGTTATTGAAGAAAATCGACAGTTGTAGGAGTTCGTAGGCGAGCAACAGAATCCATCCTTCAGCAGCAAGTCAATGCTGTCGCAGCCACATGGGCAGCACGTTCTATAGCGCTGGAAACCGGCTGCTACAAATTGTTTGGTTCTTTCGGTAAAGCCACGTAGATAAAAAAAAAAAGTGAATAAAAATAAAAAAAAAATAAAAAAACACTAATATAGACTGTAGCCTGGTTCTTAATCGGAGTGAGTGTACTGGCAATCTATAATATGGACTGTAGCCTGGTTATTAAGTTTGGTGAGTGTACTGGCAGTCTATAATGTAGACTGTAGCAATGGTTAAGCTGCAATGGTTATCGGCCGCTACAAACACAGGGACTGCAGCTGCTGCACCCGGCTTTAATACACTCTGGCTACGAACAATGGTGCATCTGTGTTCGTGTGCGTATTTGTATCTATAAATATGTACGTGGTGTGAAATATTAATAAGGAAGTGCGTTTATAGCGTGTTGAGCATGCAGGGTTAATGCTGATCGGCCATAAATACACAAACCTTGGTTTGACTCCCAGTCTAACACATTAGCAGCAATCCATATTAATCACTCGCCCTTGTATGGGCTTCCCCTAGGTGGACTCAGCCTAAAATTAGCATTGATGCCAGTCATGGAGAGAAATTGGCAACTGGTTGTGTTGCTGGCCCCACCACACCAGCCTCTCTTCACTGGCATTTGCAAGAATAAAAGAGCTCGCCAAGAAACTGACAAAGGGGCGTGTCTTTATAGATGCGCATGAAGGTACGTGTGTGTGTGTAATAGTGTGCTCGCTGACATCACTTGGCCCAACAGTCTATTGCAGCTATACGGGGGAATTTTGTCTTTGTTTTTTGTAATAGTGTGGGGAGCGGTGGCGGAGTGGTTAGCGAACTTGCGCTACGAACCTGGTGACCTGTGTTCGTTCTAGATTGAAAGCTTTCGTGACTGCAAGGATTCATACTCTTAGGTTTTTTCGGTGACTTTACCGAAAAAACCTAAGAGTGTGAAACCTGTGTTCGATTCCCAGTCATGGTTAACGTCAGTGGTGATTATCTGATCTGGTCCTGGGCCTGCCCCAAGTTGACTCAAATTAATGCCTACTACGGTGTATAAACATCAGCACTGGAATGGTTCTGGCCACACCACCTGCTCATGTCCCGTGCTGGCATGCTTGAGTGCCGACTACCAGCACCTGCCACCACGGTTCGTAGGTCTATCTATATGTCTACATGGGGAAATCGTTGTCTGTGTGTGTGTGACATAAATCAATTGAGCCTGGACTGAGCATCCTGTCGGTTGACTCAGCCTCAAAATTAGTACCTGGCACTGGACAACAATCGCGTGGTGGTCCCACCTCGTCCTGCCAGTTCATCACTAGAGCTCTCACTAACGCCACTTGCTTCAATAGTGTATACACGCAGGATGAAAGGGAACACTCATTGTCTATGTGTGGCTAATGATATCGGAACTGGTCCTGGCCACCAGCTCCCCAACCTTCACCAACCCCCGCATTGACCAGTTTGGTGAAGTAAGGTCAAGCAACCCCCGCGTGCCCGAGGGGGCACGAAGGGCAGTGGATTGAAAGGGAGCTGTAAATTTTTCACGTGAGTGCGTTTACGAGTCAGTGTGCACGTCTGCGTGTGTGTGAACGCACAGCAAGCCCTTTGACAATCCACTGCTTCACGAGGTCTCGCCACGCAGTGTGGATTATGAGGAGCTATTTGACCATACGGTAACCAAGCTGGAAAGGCATGTATTTATAAATGCGCATGCCTATGTAGGTAGGTTTGTGTTTATAGGAATGGGCCATGGAAGTGTTTTACAGCCACTGCGTATAAGATTTAGTCATCCACTATGTATGCACGATTAGGTGTGTGTCTTTTATAAGTGCGTGCATATAATATATAGTACAGTATGTGTTCATTCATTGGTCTCTAGATTTTATAGATATTGGTCTTTATATATATGAGCATGTTTTTACACAGTTATCAGTAACCATTATACAAGGTACATGATTTAGGCTGATCACATTTATATGGAACGTATATGTTGAATATGTATGCAATCGTAAGTACACAAGTGTTGTATGAGTAAAGTTTAAAGTCGGTGCTTCACTGAATGTATAAAGTGCTAGGTGAATAAAAATACAGTCAAATTTCGATTTAAAGCTTTCGTGACTGCAGGGATTCATCTTCTTGGTTCTTTCGGTAAAGTCACGTAGAAGGGAAGTAATAAATAATAAAAATAAAACATAATAAAATAAATAATTCTCACGACGTTTCGGCTACAACGCAAGCAGCCGTCTTCAGGTGAAGAATGGTAGTGTCTCATTCTTCACCTGAAGACGGCTGCTTGCGTTGTAGCCGAAACGTCGTGAGAATTATTTTATTTTATTATGTTTTATTTTTATTATTTTATTACTTCCCTTCTACGTGACTTTACCGAAAGAACCAAGAAGAAAAATACAGTCGTTAAATCAATGTCACCACATTTTAATGAGTGGAAAGGAAGACTTTGCCATTTCATGAATACATCTAATTTAATATGCATGATACACGTTAGATGATACACGTGTGTGTTTTATTGTCTGGCTATGAATAATTGTGCTCTGGATATGCACAATGTTGGTAGATATTACACCTATGTGTTTATTATAGCCGTGCATGCGTTCGACATGTATAAGCCACGTGCGCCCGTGGCTAAATCACCCGGGATCTGCTCACGCGATTTTGGAAGCTAAGCAGGTATTTAGCCTTGATAGTGCCTGGATGGGTGCTCGCCATGCACAAACAGTTTGCCGTAGGGCTTGCAGGCTGGGCCGTACGTGGTGGGCAGTAGAGGGCAGTGCAGGGAAGCCCGTTGTTGCACAGTACTTCTATGCTTCTGCGTCTTTGCTCCCCCGCCTTTCACAAACCCGCACAAGCCAGCATGGTCATCGACTACGGTAAAACAAAAATCACCCTCGCGACCTGCACAGGCGTGGGGAGCGTCCTACATCGAGCAGTGGAGTGACAAAGGGCCAGTACAGGACTATATGAACACATGTACACGACACCGGTGGTCACGTTCAATTCCAGCTCACGGTAAAATAACCGTGGCGAATATTTGAGCGCGGTCGTCGGCCTTAACCTCGGTCGACTCGGCACCTGGTGCGGTGTGCAAGCATCAACACAGACGATACAAAGGCGGCCCGCGAGCGGTTTTGTCCATCCAACCCCTCGTGTGCCGTAGCCAACCTTAATAGGTGCTCGCAAACAGCACTTGGCCCAACATCCTGTTGTGACTGCAGGGAACATGTTTGTCTTTATGTGGTATTTCACACCCCACCCACCGCGTGCCCACCTGTTTAATGAGGCTTTATGCCACTACCAGCAGCAGCAGTTAACGCCACCGTCCTCACAGCCCTTTAAATGCAACGAGGCCCCCTTGCGTGCTCGCTTGTTAATAATTATCCCTGGATATTCCGTGGCATCACGGGAGGTTTCGCTCTCGTTATAAACTCCCAGTAATCGCCTTCGTTAAAGACCTCGCCTTGCCACCTTTTTTTTGTGTGCGCGCGGAACGCGGTGGATTTTTCGGGACATCGATGTGTGGACACTTCAGCTCACTGAAGCATTTGCCCACCCAGTGCCAGCGGTTGTCACTTAAATTTTTTTTTACCTCTGCTCGTCGAGCAGGGCATATTGCATACATCGCAACGCAACGCTGCAGCCTTAGGGGCGGAGGGGAAAGGCAACAACAACAACAACACAAATGTATATTTATATACATTTGAACACATGTACAAATGCACGCACGCACATACGTATGTACGCATATTGTAATAAACTGCAGATCACTGTCTAATAATGTATGTTCCATGTGAAGAGGGTATACGTGCATGATTGTTTTGTATACAAACGTATACATACATTGATTACACAATGTACATTAATAGATGAGCACAGTACGTGGTCATTTGTTGGGATTTTTTCCCCATCACACAAAACAATTATCGATGCAGTATCAGATACCCTGACATGTTCTCAATTGCCACCTTCTTCCCAGATCTCCCTCTCTTGAAAAATATATTCCAGAGGCTCTCATTCGGTTGTTAATCACAATTGTGATGAACACACTCCAGTGATACATATTGACGCTACTTCACATGCTATTTGCATATATTGCATGTTAAATGCTGAATGTATATACATGCATCTTACCTGCTCTTTTTGGGGTTTCTTCCAAAAAGAATACACCACGATTGATTTTTGCATTGAGTTATGATTGCGTCTAACATGCGCATTGGGTTGGTGAAGCGGTGGTGCGGCGGTGAGCGCCATTGCGATGAGAGTCCCGCAAGCCGAGTTGGATTCCCGTCCATGACATTACAAGCGAGTGCGATGTCATCTGGCCACCACCTCCTTCAACTCAACCCGGCACTGACCAGCGTGGTGCAATATGGTCAAACAAGCCTCACTGTCATTATTCACCAGTGGATTGGCAAAGGGCCGTTAATTCGAATTATATCACGCATTGGGTTCATGGATTTATACGAATAGTGCATACACGTTGTGCAATCAGCATGCTGGAATACGTGCATAGTTGTGCATATTTACTCCTGTCGGAGCGCGCTGCTTATACAGCAGCACGCGGTGCGTGATGTAAACATGTAGTTTGTAACTTACCGGTCTTGTTGATTGCGCCGCGGTGTCTTCTTCCCACGGGTATGATTGGCGATGGGAGCCGAGTTGTTCAGCAGTCGGGAGTGGCACGATCACCCAGCGCCGGCTCGCCTGCAGCAAGTCGATGCCCTCTCCCACGCAAGGATTGAGAGTCAGCGACGCGCGAGAGGGTGAGCTTGCGAGGAAATTTATAGAAAATTAAATGATATCAAATTGAGTGAAAGCTCTCTCCGGTAGCGATAATTGCTGCTGATGTAGTTTTTTTGTTTTTGTTTGAAGTGCACTTGAAAGGTGCAGAGAGACACGGAGCATTAACGAGGCAGTGAAGAGATGCGCGGGATGGGACACAGAAAGAGACGGCGCAAATTTCTACCTTGGGCACTTCTGGTTGGTTGGTGGTGGTACGCGCGCACGCGTTTCACATTCAAGCTAAAGGCACTCCCACACCTCGCCAGCTCCACCAGTCTCTCTCCCTCTCTCGCCTCTCTGCACATAACCCAAAGGCAGGAGGAGGGAAGGAGGGAGGGGAAGGGAGAGGGCACTTTAGCGCAGCCCAGCGGCTTACGTCACGCCCCGGGACGGCACGAAAAAAAAACAACGGATAGGGGAGAGGCTGGTGAGGAGGGGATTTTTTTTTAGTGGCTGCAGTTTTCATTGTGCACTGCAGCACCTCCTCCTCCTGCTTCCTCATTCCCTCCCCTCCCCCGCATGTTCACCGAGCATAGACAACAATAACAACAAAAAATCCCCGCATTATTAGAGGAAATTTCGGAGCGGTTGCTGCCAGGGCAAATGCCACCGCACTTCGCTGGGCGGTAGCCCAGAGACGTGGGCGAGCGTCGCGATCAAAATCCACGGGGAGGCGGCGAGGAATTAATACGAATCCAGTGTGGATTTGATTTAATCAGGTGAGGGTGCGAGAGTTCTTTGAGATACAAGGGTTATTTTTGTTGGTGCTTGGGAGACTTGATTAGCTGTATTTACTTGTGAATTGTTAATAGTCATCGTTGTATGGGGGGGGGGGGGGGGGGTTATTTTACTGGGAATAAATGTAGCTCTGGCAAACCATCGCAAATAAATACGGGGTCTTTCATTTATAACAATACATTATTGGTAATGGCACCCACATTTCAGAGTGGTTTGTGAGAATGGAACAGACGTGTCTCCAAACTCACTTGCTCAGTGAAGGGCATACATACCGAGCAAAGCTACAGACGAAGCCTCTTAAGATGAATGAATTCTATCCATGCGTGGCACACAGGATGTAGCGTTAAATCTCATCACTGTAGAATTGCATACACACTTGGATGCACAGCGCTGATGGATCTCATTTAAACAATTAACAAGCAGCGTGCGCTTACATTTAGATGGTGCAGCGGCCTTCAACCGATAGGCGCGTGACGGACGCAAACAGTACAGCTCGTTAATATAATTACGCAGAAAAGTGCGCTTACATTAATTACTTTTCGTCACGCGGATATGGCTGCTTATCAACATATCTGTTGCCATTTTCTCTCCAATCAGATCAACTGGCTTGATCGACTTTGGCAGCGCGCAAACAGTCGGGCAACAAACCTGGCAAGAATGGGAGGTCTCCCCTCCCGTTAATGGTCTCGTTCACGTGTGCGCGCATCCTAATTAAGGGGAGCACCCTGCCAGCTTAGCCCGCACCCCCACCCCTCTCTCCAAACTCATCACACAGCCCAGTGCTCCGACCAACAAAAAAATCGCAGCCGTAACGTGCGACGCCAAAGGGGATGTTTGGTGGCTATTTGTTTCCACATTAAAGCGCCTTTTCTCAAGTGCTGTGGTCGGAAATGGTTGAGCAAGGGAACTGCAATGCAATTTCCCGCAGCTCGAGCAGACGTGTAAAATGAGTCTTGACACGTGGATTGGACCACAGATTTGTGAATATCTCTATGACGTGGGGACATCGCGTTCTGTTCCTTTCGCCTTCTTCGGGGCAATGGGAAAAGACAACTTGCTTCGTTTAAGCCAGTTGGTGACAACCAACCTGTAATCTACAAGTACCACAAACAATGATAATTGTTTTTTTTACTCTTTTATCTGGCAACAAAACTGACACCTTTTTTTTACAAGGAGTCATGTTTGCATTAACCACAATACCTGCAGTCGGAATGCAAACAAAAAAACATAACTCTGATAATATATGCACTGTCCTTGAAATTGATTGGTCCACACCCGAGACAGCTTTTCTTAGAGCCTAGTCTCACATGGTGTTGGACCAGATGACGCCAAAAGGCGCACAACGCAAGGACAATGGACCATCAGAGTATGAGAGCTCGGGGTAAGCATTTACACCATTGGAACCTCATTTGCCAGTAACAAAATATGACAATTGTTTTTTTATCCTTTTATCTGGCAACAAAACTGACACCTTTTTTTAGCGTCATCAACACCATGTGAGACTAGGCTCTAAAGAAAGCTGTCTCGGGTGTGGACCAATCAATTTCAAGGACAGTGCATACATTATCAGAGTTATGTTTTTTGTTTGCTTTCTGACTGCAGGTATTGTGGTTAATGCAAACATGACTCCTTGTAAAACAAGGTGTCAGTTTTGTTGCCAGATAAAAGGGTAAAAAAACAATTATCATATTTTGTTACTGGCAAATGAGGTTCCAATGGTGTAAACCACAAACAAACTCAACAAATTCGTCAATAACACCCACCTCAAAAGAATAGGTACAGAATAGGTATAACGTATATGTAAATGTTCATCAGGAAACGGTTTAATATGTAATTCTCATCATTCTCCGCGGTGTAAAAAAATTTCTACCTACGTGACTTTACCAAAATAACCAAAGAGTATGGATTCCTACAGTCACGAAAGCTTCAAATCAAGTGTAAAAATCAGTCTCCAATTATTATCCACCCTATCTCTCTGGCCTCTCTATGGTTGTGCTCTGAAGAAGGACCATTGCCAGACACGTCGCCGACTATATCCTTTTTTAAGGCCACAAAGTAATCCACGAATGTATTCAGTTTTTGTTTTGGTATTTGTGCTTGTGCACCACAGCCAACGGAGCAGCATTAAAAAGATGTGTAATATACAAGATGTGTAATTACAAGGAGTTGGGCTGTTTCCATGAGTCACTTGTGCCTCCTTATTGACGGTTATTTTGGGGCCATCTTCTTCATAAAACTCTCTCTGTCACCAAGCATCAACGATCACTTTGACTGTGTTATGTTTTCGCGGCTGTGTTGGACAACTTTCCGACGTGTTAGCGGCTTCTCCTGCGTGTTCTTTCAGCACAATGTCTGACGTTTAACTCCATTTGCGGGGCGCTTCTGTGCGGAACTAAAGAAGCTCCTCGCACATTATTCCAAACAACAGCGGTTAATCCCGACAACACATCATAGAGCTATAAATTAATACTATTATGACCGAACACGGTTATTAATTTATTTCATTAGGTTAAAATATCACGATTACATTTCTGTAGTTAAACACTACTACGTAAGGACAGTTTTTTTGGCAATGTAATTGTCAGTAAAATATATATTAAAAAAAAGATCTGCGCCATCAAACAGGAACACACACTGGTTCTCTTTCTGTTTTACAAAACGGGGGGAGGGGGTGGGGGTCATGTAGTTTTAAACATTCACTCTATACAGCAGACAGTGCGCTTTGGCAATTCCCTACAGAAATTTACCGCGCAGCTGTGGAAACGAAACCATTCGCATCGGCGTAAACTGTCTCAGCTGGGAGAACACTGACCACCATAGGGGTATCCAGCCGCAAGCCTATTGAGACCCCCTCCTCCTGTTTTAAAATTAATCCCCATCCCCACATCAGCCTCCCCACTCACGGGGGTTTGTGGACACTCCACACCGGCGGAAGGGCAAAATTTGACCCAAAGTCTCACAGGGGTGGAGAGGAAGACGGAGAAATTAGCTGCGATGGGCAACACTAAAGTATATATATATAAATAAGCGCCGTGTAATGGGGGCATATATAGATGTGGTTATTCAGCGTGCAGACCCGAGCACTTTGCGTGTCATCAATTTGAGATCGCGCAGAACGTTTTCTCTTGATGCAAATGAGTGTACGACAGTGAGGCGACAACTCGATTTGCAGACATTATTTCGAGATTGAGGACGAATACAATACCCGCACATAAAATAAGCTTGTAGATTATAATCACTCAGCACAATTTTTGTATTGCCTGGAAATTAGAGTCTGTTTTTTTTTGCCAAGGAGGTGGTCGTCGTGTGTCTCAGCTGGCTGATGCAATTGACTGATGCAATGCCCGTGATAAGAACATTGAGCCAGTACCACTGGGTTAATATGCTCCCGTTGATATAAAATTCATGTTCACAAGTGCAGTGAGTTTGAAAGTCTTAACCCAAACACCCCGTGCTTGTGTTTGTACAAAAAGGTACAACCCTGCAATTATATTCTTGGTTCTTTCGGTAAAGTCACGTAGAAGGGAAATAGTAAAATAATATAAATATGAAACAATAAAAATTCTCACGACGTTTCGACTGCAACACATGCAAGAAAATTTGAAAAAAAGTGGCGGTTTTTCCTAACGTTAGGAAAAACCGCCACTTTTTATTTTCTTGCTGTAGATTTCACACCTGATGATGATTGCTTGTGTTGCAGTCGAAACATCGTGATAATTTTTATTGTTTTATATTTATACTAGCAGAAGTACCCGGCGTTGCCCGGGTGAAAAATATATTTCTTAATAACCTTACATATATACACAGATGGGTTGCTACCCCTGCCCCCCCCCCCAGCCACGATCTCCTCGGCCGCTGTGCAGTAGTATGTACGGCCTATAGTCTGGTGGGGTGTCGAGGCCTAGTAGCGTGCAGAGCCTCCGGCCTCGCCTAAATTGCCCACCCGGCTGAGGCTGGGTACCGGGGCCATTACCCCCCCCCCGCGCTACAATAATACTGTGTAATCGCTATAATTTTATAATCTACCGACCCAATAATAGTAATTGCACACATTGTGGTGGGGGGGGAGTGAAGAGGACGTGAAACTTTGATGAATTTACCTCAGAGTCGCGTGTAATGCGTGCTCCTATTTTAACGGGAATTAAAAATGGCGTCCACCCCGCGGCGAATGCGTCGCTACCCGTTGCCAGGGGCAACCGCCGGACCAATCGTGTCTCGCAAATCCCTCACATTTCGTCCAATTAAACTGCGTATGGTCCGATACACAGACACACACACAGACAGACAGATAGACAGACAGATTTGCGATTTTATATATATAGATTATTTTATTTGATTATTTCCCTTCTACGTGACTTTACCGAAAGAACCAAGAATATGAATCCCTGCAGTCACGAAAGCTTTTAAATCAAAATCCTGCAATTGTTTGCCCATGCCACTGCTGACAGAAGGGCGTCCACGAGAAGGAGTTTGAGAGAGCCCCTGTAGAGGGTAATTGACCTACTCTTTCACGCTGGCCAGACATCTT